TCCAGGAGCAGCTGGAGCGTCGCGCAGACGCTAGTACGCATGCATGCACCGCGCACGTGCACGAGGACGCCGCTGGCCCTGTTCCAACCGAACCAGTTGGAATGGGGCGAGAAACCCACCCCTGTGTCATACATACTCTTTTTCTCTCCATTTTTCTCTTCCCTGTTTCCCAAAATAATCAGTCCACTTCCTCAGTCCTCATTCAGGTCTTTTTCTTCTTCTTCTGGAAGTTCTTTCCTCCCGCTTGGCTCCTATAGGTGCCTCAACCTAGTAATGCCTATCTCTTACATGCAGATCCATTTTGTTGTGAGTAGATATGATACCGAAACCATTTTCACCAAAATAAAACAACTGTTCCTCCTATAGATCTGAAGAGCTAATTTTTTTTCTCCTCCTATTCTCTTTTGTAGTGGATGGAAATCAGTGGTATTAAAGATCAAGATCAAAGGCAGAATTTTTGCAATGCTCTTTTTACTGGTGGAAGCATGGAGCATAAGTTCTACGAGGCCATAAAATTCCTCATGCTCTATCAAGTAATAGAAGCTTACGAACGCTTGGCCAGTAACCAGGAACGCATTCCAAACTTTTTCAGTGATCTTTTTAGACGGGATACTTCTTTGGATCCTTTAAGTTATATGATGAATCATCTGAACTCAATAGGAGACAGAAGAGGTCTTGATCAGGTAAATGCAAAACAAAATGTAATAAATTTTGGCATTAAAAAAAAAGCTCTTAGGAGGCTTAAACTGATTTACTTCTAGGCTGTCCAGAGCAAGAAAAGTTGTATTAGACTAAAATATTATGCAGTATTTTTAAATCACGGGGCTTAATAAGCAATCAGCTTTCTGTTTTCTGCTTATTTTGCAAGTTTTCTTTGTATTTTTCATATAAAAGGAAAAAAAGTTATGGAGGGGACTGAAGCTTCATTTTCTGATCTCCTGCAGTTTTGTTTTGTTTTTGATACCAGATAAAGGCTTTTTTTTATTCTCAGTGACCTTTTATGTTTCATAAAAGCATAAAATATTGTAGGATCCAATCTGGGTCAATCACTGGGACCAGAGGTTCTGGACTCGTGCTGGAGCCCATCTTCAGGGAACTTGAACATTCAATTTTACAGCTACCAAGATTGTTGGCTGAGCAGGCATAAAAAGAGCCAGGGAAGTGATGAAGCCTGGGAAACAGGCCCTGCGTCAGTCAACAGGAGTGCTGATTTACCATCAGCTTATCAAGGACTTATAAGGCGAGGGCCGGACAGCCAATGACTTAACAGCCAATCATCAACACACCCCAATCAACATCTAAAAAGCCACACACAACAGGCACCATATAAATATCACTCACAGAACAACACACACTCTGCTAGAGAAAAGTTCCCTGAAGATAGGCTCCAGCACAATGCTTGAAAGACAAAATCTCTGGTCCCGTTGATTGACCCCGATTAGATCCTACAACATCATCCAGG